TACACTTTCAGATTTATACTGGATAATATTATCCCAACAAGTGTAAAGTGTATCCACTCAGCTACTAAGATTACATCTTTCAGATGCTTGCTCGGCGGCAGGGTTTTGCGTCGACGATCACGCGGCAAATTGGAAAAAAGACCAACCCAGGCAATGACTCGAATGAATGGAAGACATCCTTGTAAGCTTCACTGTAGCCACACCGATCAATCAGGCAAAGGTATTGCTGTCAGGATTCTTGACGCAACTTGAGGTTCTTAATCTCATATGGTTCTTACGATTCAAGCCAATGGCAGCTTCAACTGCAGCGGTCCAAAAGCAGGGCGGTCTTTATTTTGCCACCTCCCTGGTTTGAGAAGTGTCGCGGAAGGTTCGGGCCTCACAGTGAGTGTCCCCTGCTGGGGCCAGCACGAAAACTGTCCGCCCTAAGCCTGTGATCCGCAACGAAAGATTCAAGCGCCTTCCTGTACAGCTAATCGCGACAGAAGCGCCGTCTTTCTGGTGGCACGCTAATCAGCCTACCTCCCCACGATTGACCCGCAACCCATCAGCAAGAATCACAACTGACTCACTCCTCTGCCACTACAACAAATAAAAATGGGGAAAGTCCGCTGCTTTTATTCGTACTTTTAAGAGAGCCGGCGCTTGGGTGATCTTCTGTCAGCTTTCCCTCTGTACTGAGCCAGTTCAGAAACCAGGAGGCGCGACAAAGCCGCCAGTGGAAGACCGACGACCTGGGCTACATGGGCTTCTGCTGCAATCAGCGGCTAATGATGTCGGACCTAAATTCTACCGACGAGCCCTGCCTTGCACACTGCCACATGTTGACCGCGGCTAAGACAAACTAAGGGGCATTTTGATAATCGCCGCGGATGCCGGTGACAAGCAAGCTGCCGACCGCCTGCGTTTTTTTATCAAAACGCACCCAGCAGTTTCGATAATAAGATCTTTCTTTGTGGAGGACGCACAAATATGTGCATTCTTGAGGCCTGCTCTGCTACCAGTAACTGCTAATACAATCAAGCCGGAACCTGAAGCTGTCCGGTGCAAACGAAGTAGTCCAAGCCGGGCAAGCAAAGTGCATACATACACATCGCTCTGCAAACGAACATGAGCCAACGTGGGTTTCTTCAGCCCCGCGCGGCCAGCATCATCAGCATCAGCTGCCCTTGTTGGGAGTATCACAAGCAACAGCTGCCACCTCGGGGCTCGGTCAGCATCATCGGAATCAGCTTCCCTTGTTGGGAGCATGATAATCAACAGCTGCCACCTCGAGGTTTCTTCAGCCCTGCGCGGCCGGCATCATCTGCATCAGCTGCCGTTGTTGGGAGCATCATAAGCAACAGCTGCCACCTCGGGGCTTCTTCAGCACCACGCGGCCAGCATCATCGGCATCAGCTGCCCTGTGGGATCATCATAAGCAACAGCTGCTACCTCCGCGGCCGGCATCATCAGCATCAGCTGCCCTTGTTGAGAGCATCATAAGCGACAGCTGCCACCTCAGGTCTTCTTCAGCCCCACACGGCCAGCATCATCAGCATCAGCTGCCCTTGTTGGGAGCATCATAAGCGCCGGCTGTCACCTCGGGGCTTGTTCAGCCACATGCGGCCGGCATCATCAGCAGCAGCTGCCCTTGTTGAGAGTATCATAAGCGACAGTTGCCACCTCTGGGCTTCTTCAGCCCCACGCGGCCAGCATCAGCAGCGTCACCTGCCCTGGTTGGGAGCATCATGAGCGACAGCTGCCACCTCAGGGCTTCTTCAGCCCCACGCGGCCAGCATCATCAGCATCAGCTGCTCTTGTTGGGAGCATCATAAGCAACAGCTGCTACCTCAGGGTTTCTTCAGCCCCGCGCGGCCAGCATGATCAGCATCAGCTGCCCTTGTTGGGAGTTTCGTGAATCGTAAGCAACAGCTGCCACAGGCCTTCTTCAGCCCCACGCGGCCGGCATCATTAGCATCAGCTGCCCTTGTTGAGAGTATCATAAGCAACAGCTGCCACCTCAGGGCTTCTTCAGACCCACGTGGGCAGCATCAGCAGCGTCAGCTGCCCTTGTTGGAAGCATCATGAGCGACAGCTGCCACCTCAGGGCTTCTTCAACCCCACGCGGCCAGCATCATCAGCATCAGCTGCCCTTGTTGGGAGCATCATAAGCAACAGCTGCTACCTCCGCGGCCAGCATCATGAGCATCAGCTGCCCTTGTTGGGAGGATCATAAGCAACAGCTGCCACCTCTGGGTATGTTCAGCCCCAAACGGCCAGCACCGTTGTTGGGAGCACCACAAGCAACAGCTGCCACCTCAGGCTTTCTTCAGCGACACAGCCAGCATCATCAGCATCAGCTGTCCTTGTTGGGAGCATTTTGAGCAACAGCTGCCACCTCAGAGTTCGCTCAGCCCCATTCGGCCAGCATCATCAGCATCAGCCGCCCTGTTTGGGAGCATCATAAGCAACAGCTGCCACCTCGGGATTTCTTCAGCCAAGGCGTGGCCAGCATCAGCTGCCCTTGTTTTTTGTTTTCAGCCACACACGGCCAGCATCATGAGCATCAGCTACCCTTGTTGGGAGTATCATAAGCGACGGCTGTCATCTCGGGGCTTCTTCAGCCCCACGCGGCCAGCATCATCAGCATCAGCTGCCCTTGTTGGGAGCATCATAAGCAACAGCTGCCACCTCGAAGCTTCTTCAGCCCCACACGGCCAGCATCAGCAGCGTCACCTGCCCTTGTTGGGAGCATCATGAGCGACAGCTGCCACCTCAGGGCTTCTTCAGCATCATCAGCATCAGCTGCCCGTGTTGGGAGCATCATAAGCAACAGCTGCTACCGCAGGGTTTCTTCAGCCCCGCGCGGCCACCATCATCAGCATCAGCTGCCCTTGTTGGGAGTTTCGTGAGCGACAGCTGCCACCTCAGGGCTTCTTCAACCCCACCCGGCCAGCATCATCAGCATCAGCTACCTCCGCGGCCAGCATCATGAGCATCAGCTGCCCTTGTTGGGAGGATCATGAGCAACAGCTGCCACCTCAGGGTATGTTCAGCCTTATACGGCCAGCACCCTTGCTGGGAGCACCACAAGCAACAGCTGCCACCTCAGGGTTTCTTCAGCGCCACGGCCAGCATCATCAGCATCAGCTGTCCTTGTTGGGAGCATTATAAGCAACAGCTGCCACCTCAGAGCCGCCCTGTTTGGGAGCATCATAAGCAACAGCTGCCATCTCGGGATTTCTTCAGCCCCACGCGGCCAGCATCAGCTGCCCTTGTTTTTTGTTTTCAGCCCCACGCGGCCAGCATCATCAGCATCAGCTACCCTTGTTGGGAGTATCATACGCGACGGCTGTCATCTCGTGGCTTCTTCAGCCCCACGCGGCCAGCATCATCAGCATCAGCTGCCCTTGTTGGGAGCATCATAAGCAACAGCTGCCACCTCATGGCTTTTTCAGCCCCACGCGGCCTGCATCATCTCGGAGCATCATTAAGCAACAGCTGCCACGTCAGGGTTCGTTCAGCCCCATGCGGCCAGCATCATCAGCATCAGCTGCCCTGTTTGGGAGCATCATAAGCAACAGCTGCGACCTCGGAATTTCTTCAGCCAAGGCGTGGCCAGCATCAGCTGCCCTTGTTTTTTGTTTTCAGCGCCACGCGGCCAGCATCATCAGCATCAGCTACCCTTGTTGGGAGTATCATAAGCGACGGCTGTCATCTCGGGGCTTCTTCAGCCCCACGCGGCCAGCATCAACAGCGTCAGCTGCCCTTGTTGGGCATTATAAGCAACAGCTGCCACCTCCAAGCTTCTTCAGCCCCACGCGGCCAGCATCATCAGCATCAGCTGCCCTTGTTGGGAGCATCATAAGCAACAGCTGCCACCTCGGGATTTCTTCAGCCAAGGCGTGGCCAGCATCAGCTGCCCTTGTTTTTTGTTTTCAGCCCCACACGGCCAGCATCATCAGCATCAGCTGCCCTTGTTGGGAGTATCATAAGCGACGGCTGTCATCTCGGGGCTTCTCCAGCCCCACGCGGCCAGCATCATCAGCATCAGCTGCCCTTGTTGGGAGCATCATAAGCAACAGCTGCCACCTCGAAGCTTCTTCAGCCCCATCCGGCCAACATCATCAGCATCAGCTGCCCTTGTTGGGAGCATCATAAGCAACAGCTGCCACCTCAGGGCTGCTTCAGCCCCACGCGGCCAGCATCAGCAGCGTCACCTGCCCTTGTTGGGAGCATCATGAGCGACAGCTACCACCTCAGGGCTTCTTCAGCCCCACGCGGCCAGCATCATCAGCATCAGCTGCCCTTGTTGGGAGCATCATAAGCATCAGCTGTCCTTGTTGGGAGTTTCGTGAGCGACAGCTGCCACCTCAGGGCTTCTTCAACCCCACGCGGCCAGCATCATCAGCATCAGCTTCCCTTGTTGGGAGCATCATAAGCAACAGCTGCTACCTCCGCGGCCAGCATCAGCTGCCCTTGTTGGGAGGATCATGAGCAACAGCTGCCACCTCAGGGTATGTTCAGCCCCACACGGCCAGCACCCTTGCTGGGAGCACCACAAGCAACAGCTGCCACCTCAGGGTTTCTGCAGCGCCACGGCCAGCATCATCAGCATCAGCTGTCCTTGTTGGGAACATTATAAGCAACAGCTGCCACCTCAGAGTTCGCTCAGCCACATGCGGCCAGCATCATCAGCATCAGCTGCCCTTGTTGGGAGCATCATAAGCAACAGCTGCCACCTCGAAGCTTCTTCAGCCCCACGCGGCCAGCATCATCAGCATCAGCTGCCCTTGTTGGGAGCATCATAAGCAACAGCTGCCACGTCAGAGCTTCTTCAGCCCCACACGCGGCCAGCATGATCAGCATCAGCTGCCCTTGTTGGGAGCATCAAAAGCAACAGCTGCCACCTCAGGGTTTGTTCAGCCCCACGCGGCCAGCATCATCAGCATCAGCTGCCATCGTTGGGAGCATCATAAGCAACAGCTGCCACCTCAAGGGTTTCTTCAGGGCAAAGATCACGCCTGGATGCCGTAGCCTCCGGCTTTGTCAAAGGGCTCCCCAGTGGCGATGTAGGCCTTTAGCTCCTGGAAAGACTTGGGATAAAGGCTTTTGTAGTCACGGTTCGCGGTTTAGGATTGTAGGGTTTAGTTCATTTTTGGTTCAGGGTCTCGAGAGTGGTTTCTATGCTTTTATGGGGCCTCTATTGATTTTTACATTCCTTGCAAGCTTTCAAAAGGGCAGCCAAAGGGTACTATGGGTTCTCGTAGAGGAAACTAAACCTCAGGGTTTGGGGTCTATGCGATTTTTCGGTGAGATCGGAGGTTGCTGTGGAGGTTCTGGTTGTACGTGATGTTTTCGTCTCCGGGTTTTTTTCCCTCCTACCTAGCAAGGACGAAGCCCCGTCTCCGGGTTTAGGGTTTAGGGTTTAGGGTTCACCAACCACAGTTCGGCATGGTAAATTTCAGACGCACGTCCAGGGCTGCTTGTAACTGAGAGTATAGGGTTAGGGGCATGAGGGTATAGGGTTAGGGGCATGCGAAGGTGCAAGTTCTACCCCAAGCCGAAAGACCTTCCTACTTTTTGGGTATCATGGGGAACTACAGGTTAACCTTTTTGGTTATATAGGGGTTATGTAGGGACTATATTACCCAGGAAAGCTTAAAGGTTACCTACTCTACTACTCCTTACACCTAAAGCCGTCCACCCACCGGGCCAAGTTTAACTTGCTTCGAGCTTCCTTTGGATGAACATTTTCCTTCTTTAAAAGGATTTAGGGCCTAAACCCTTTTGACCCCTAAACCTATCGGGTTTAGCGGGATAAACGGATAAACTGTACTGCCAATGGTTGAGTGCCGCCAACTTAAAGCCATATCTGGGGTTGGGCTCCGTTTAGGCCCTGACAGGCGTTCAACTCATAATTCGTTGCAGTACCCATAGGCTCCATAGTAGTTCCTTTTTTGGGGTTCATATTTAGAATCCTATAAAGTAATCCCACAAAGGAACTATTATGGAGCCTATGGGTAAGCACATTTTAAGAGGTACCGGCAGGGACAGTGACAGTCAGGCCTCATATGCTCGGTTTAAGCTGACACATGCGGTTTCTTGATGGTGTTCAACGACTTCGCGGCAATTGGGGGGGGCATTTTGTGTAGATGTTTGGAGAATGTGGTGTGGCGAGGATGATCCGAAAATCTACGGAGCGGGCTGCTGTGACAGCTTAGCTGCTTCAGGTCAGGGACATACTAGCAATTGCGAATATCTCTAAGATTGAGGTAAGCACTGGCACTATGCTATGTAATGCAGGAGCAGGCAAAACAAGAAACACATCGGACTACAGCATAACAGACTATTGCAATATCTTGTAGACTTGAAAAGACATACAACAATATGAAAATATGAAATAAGATAAAGGAAACTCAGATAGTCGAGGTCCATGTCTCATGATATGATCTAGCATATACTGTCACATAGATGTAGTAACATAATACATTGTGGTGTAATGATACCATGCACAATTCTTCCGCACTAGAACCTCCATCAATGTAAAGCCTCCTGGACAGGGCCAGTTCCCAGTCCTAAACCCCATATAGTCTATTCGAAACCATGGCCAGGCTCCCAGAAACTCGAACATCATTGATATGGAATCTGCTTCTACATTTGCTAGTGTTGGGCTTTTAACAGTGTTGGGCTTTTAACAGATACCAGCGACAGTATGCATCATCACTCTAGCCCTGCAAAAATGTGAGAGAGAGAGAGATAGAAAGACGTCGGACAGTCTGTGCCTATACGCTAAACTGAGGCCCCTTCCGTTTTCCATGGCCAGACCACAACATACCATTAGCCCTGTGGCCTCCCTTCTCCCCAAGTAACCTACGTTGAAATCATGTCATATATAATCATCCACCCCTAAGAACGTAAGCTTATAGGCCTCATGTGGGAGTTTCCGAAAATTAGGGGTACCTTATTTTGGGGCCCATATAATAAGGATCCTACTATTTAGGGTACCATATTAGGGTCCCCCATTTTCGGAAACTCCCATGTAGAACCCTCATGGACACTTGGAGCTACTGGTAGAGCTCCTCGTCTGAGCTGTCGGCGAAGCAGACGGTAGAGACTTCCTGAGCTGAAGGGCACTTCTATATAAAATGTAGAAGCATGAATACTCGCCTATAGTATTCCTTGGGCTCCTTGAGTCTACTTCTGTACTAGTGTAGGAACCTGATTAAGACACCTTGGGCCTATTACGGTTCCTATATGGAACCGACTATTTTGGGATTCTAGGCCCACGGCTTCTTAATCAGGTTCCTACATTATAGAAGGGTCCAGAGCCCCACTCAATTGTTGAGGACCCATTGCTAGTCCACACACTGTGCATTGTCAACGGAAATGGTTGCTGAAGAGGCAAGCTGCACCGGGCTAGGGGAACCCAGCGCGGGTACGGTACTATACCCCCCTAAAACCATGATAACAAATATAATTCTTAAGTCTTAATATTCTCCTAGGTTGTATATGAACAAAAATGGAAATGACTCCTAAGGTCCTAAGGAGACTATAACACATGGTCGACTGAAATCGCAATCTTTGAGAGGTCTCGTTCCGGCCACGGCCGTCAGGGACGGTAAACTTATCTCGCCAGTTTGCTCATGACTGATATTCCTAATGCCTATGACCCTCACTCTCTCTCTCTCTCTCTCTCTCTCTTTCTCTCTCTCTCCCAGGCATTCGAAACGTCAAGCCCTACCACCCTAAACCCCTAAACCCTGCTTGGCTCCTCGGTACGGTCTCGAAACCTCGTAATACAGGGGACTTGCTTTGAAAATTAGAATAGGCTTTTGGGGGTATGTTATGCTATACTTATAAACCTGATAGGGGCCACGAACCCGAATGCAGACACGCGTAACGCAGATATCGCATCCCCTAAGGAAAATAGCCGGAGAAGGAATCAGGGCAGCACGAGAGTCGTATCACCACGTTTGCACGAGATGCACGAACAAAATAAACATTACATGGATCCCGTGAGTGTACTGCATCGCCGGCATCGCTGATGATACAGGGTCATGTTTGTCATGATGTTTTGTCATGATGTTTTTCCTTTTTTTCTCATGTTCATCGCAAGCAGGTAGGAGTGTCGAGCGGTGACGGCGTCAGAGCGGAGTGAGGTTGTGTCCTGACAGAAGGATCATGCCAGAACATATTCGGCGAGAATGCAACTGGCACCATCACTCTATGTTAAGGATCTCCTTGTGGAGTTCACATTACGGGTTACCCCTTAGCTTGACGAATTCAGAACGCCGTCGGGACGCGCGTTCTGTGGAGTTCCCCATTAACAGCGCGAACATCCTGTGGAGTTCCCCCTTAGCTTGACGGATTCAAAACGCCGTCGGGACGCTGCCGGAACACGGCTTTTGTGAGTGACGCGCGTGTGGAACACGCCTCCTGTGAAGTTCCCCCTTAGCTTGACGGATTCAGAGCGACACCTCTGGAGTTACCCCTTAGCCTGCTGTGGAGTTCCCCCTTGGCTTGACGGATTCAGAACGCCGTCGGGACGCTGCCGGAACACGCCTCCTGTGGAGTTCCCCCTTAGCTTGACGGATTCAGAACGCCGTCGGGACGCGCGTTCAGTTCCCCATTAACGGCTGCCGGAACACGCCTCCTGTGGAGTTCCACCTTCGCTCGATGGATTCAGAACGCCGTCGGGATGCTGCCGGAACACGCGTCCTGTGGAGTTCCCCCTTAGCTTGACGGATTCAGAACGCCGTCGGGACGCGCGTTCTGTGGAGTTTCCCATTAACAGCTGCCGGAACACGCCTCCCGTGGAGTTCCCCCTCAGCTTGACGGATTCAGAACGCCGTCGGGACGCACCGCCGTCGGGCTTGACGGATTCAGAACGCCGTCGGGACGCTGCCGGTACGCCTGTGGAGTTCCCCCTTAGCTTGACGGATTCAGAACGCCGTCGGGACGCGCGTTCTGCACGACACGCCTCGCGTCACACGCGGACGCTTTGCGGACGCTTGCGAACGCTTTGCGGACGCTTTAACAACGATCGCTGGTCACCTGCTGGACCCCTGGACCCCAACCTTTAAAACGGGAACCCTTCTGCGCAGCATTCGGGAAAACGAACCCCCCCAAATAAGATGGGTAACTATTAAGGTAATTATAGCAGACATTTTACTGCGAGCTTTGGCCTGCGACCCGTCGTCGGCGTGGTCCCATGTGTTTTCGTGTCCCGAAATCGTGCTTCTTCAACAATGCCTTCCTTGTTGGGACCTGGGTCATGCTGGTGCCTTCCCAAAACGTGATGCGTGCCGTCGTCATCTTTCGTGCGAGGCTCCCGGCAGATATGGCGCATTTTGAATTCATCGGACCTTGATGGGTCCTCCTGACATGTTCTTGCTAAGGGATATTAAAGTTACCATAATGAGGAAACCATATTGTTTAGTTTATAGATCCCTATTATGGTAACTTAAACTAACTTCCTATACCCTTCAAGGAACCCTTATAGATCCCTTAAAGGAACCCTTATAGGTATACTATTGGTAACTTAAACTAAACCCGTAACAAGAACCCAGGAGGTCGGAGGTGGTTCCTGCTATGTATATCCTGCTATGTATATCCTCTGACCCTTTCACTATTTGGGGGTTTCCAAAAAATAGGGGACACTATACTACAATTATAAGAAGGAAGCCAAAAAATAGTATAGGTAATTATAAGGCCCCTATAGTAGAGCAGGTCAGGGGTTTCCGAATTTATGGACCTAATATAATACCCTGAGTAGTCGGATCCTTCTTAGAAGGACCCCAAAACAAGGTACCCCTAATTTTTGGGCAGCCCCCATTTGAGTCTACGCTGGCACAGCCCCGGCGAAGCATTTTCGAAGGGTCCTATAGGATCCTACAAGGTATTTTTGCAGTAAACCCTAAACCCTAAACCCCTAAACCCCTGAAACCCCTAAACCCTACACCCTAAACCGCCGAACCCTCAAGCAGCTGGGGTTGAGGCATTTCGGAAATTCCCCAATGGGTTCGGGGCTGAAGGCTTCGAGGCGTAAATTCAGCGTTTGGGTTTGGGTTTGCTCTTCTTCGAATGTAGTAGGCAGTCCGGGGTTTAGGGTTTAGGGCTCAGGGTCCAGCATTTAAGGATAAGTGCTTAAGGGTTGGGGGGGGGTGCTAGGACCAGGTCTGCTGAGCAAGGAAGTTCCTGAACAGGTGGACATAGGCTCCACCGCTTGATACTGTGAAAAGTGAAGCTGCTGCGCTACTATGAGGAGCACTCAGAAGGACATTAGTGGTCAGGTAAAATGAGGCAGCAACGGAGCAAAGCCGGTAAATACCCAACCCTAAGGCTCCATGTAGCCATATGGGTGGTTGTCACTATTAGGGTCCTGTTGGGGGGTCCTTATTACAATACGGCGCGTATCATTTAGGGTACCCAAAAAGCGGCCACAATAATTTTCAACTACCCATATAGTACATACTTGGGCCTTAACGTACATGGAGCCTTTGGGAAAGTACACTCTCGCAGCCAGGGTGGCTGTCTCACTTCTTCACCCAAAGTTTCGGTGTTCTGAGTTCGGTGTAATGTAGGAACCTGATTAAGAAACCATAAAGGCCTAGGGGTGTTCTCAGTTCGGTGTACTGGACATGGTTCGAACTCTTGCTCCTGGGCAAAGCTGCCGACGCCTTTTAGCTGCCGACGTCTGAAACCCTAACTACGCCAAACCCTGAATCCTAAACCGCGAATGCCCTAAAGCGTGAATCCTAAACCCTATATACCCTAAACCCTAACTAAATCCTAAACCCTAAATACCCTAAACCCTAACTAAATCCTAAACCCTAAACACACGAAAACCCTAAGTCCTAAACGTAAGCCAGCGGCACAAATGGCCACAGGATCCTCTGCCCCAGCCACAGATATGGCCACACCTGTCATCACCTGAGCAAGTTAACATAGGCGCCTTAATAATTAGAATAGGGTTCTTTTTAAAAGGCATTATAAGGGTTCCTTTAAGGAGTTCTATGAGAGTGCTATAATATAGGGGCTTTAATGTATAGTTACAACAGGGCTTGGGGCCCATTCTACTCTATATACTTACAATATGGAACCCAAAGATAGTGTAGGTAATTATCAAGGCCCCTATAGTAGAGCAAATCAAGGGCTTCCGAAAAGAGGGTACCTTAATATAGCATCCTGAATAGTAGGACCCTTGTTATAAGGACCCCAAAATAAGGTACCCCTAATTTTCGGAAACTACCAGTTAGCATGGCCTGATGGCACAGAACTCAGGAACAAAGTGTACAACAGCTGCAAGAGCCAGGCTCTGCCCCAGGTTGTGAAGGGCATTGCTAGGCATACAAAGGGCCAGAAGACTTACTGTTGATGATATACGTCCTGCACTACCTTAAGGACCCTAAACTATGGGAATTATATAATTATGGTGTGTTCACGGTAATGCAGGATGTATACCGTACGTCCACAGACGAGTCATTGCCTGGTGTTCGCGGCCCCTCAGCGACTGCAGCATCTGGAGGGCATGTTCCTCGTCCTTGCAATATGCTTTCGCACTCACGGTCTCAGGAATCTCTTGTCTGGGCGATTCCAGTTTTGCAAAAACTCTTCTACCCGAATTCCTGTGCGAACGAAATCAAGTCTTCTCTGAATACATCCTGAACCCCAAAACCCTACACCGTCTCATGATCTTCAACTCTGAACCGTTAGATCCCTTATGAACCCGACACGCAGGTGGCCGAAGGCCCCTCGTGGTCCGGTTATCCTGGGGCTTCTCCAGGATGGTCTCACCCAGGACGACAACAGTGTCAGAACCTGGCTTGGCAAAGCTTGGGGATATGTGCACTTTACCGGTGCAGGTTTACCAGTTACATCAAGGGGTTTAGGCGCTGGAGTCTGGAGTCTAAGGTTTACGTGGGAGTTTCTGAAAATGGGGGACCCTGATATTTAAGGAGCCTACAATCGGTACCCCCCCCCCATGATTTTCGGGAAACTCCCACATGTGTCTGGCTCAAGGTTTAGGAGTTTAGGGCGCTCCGGTGGCTGGGTCTCGACTTCGGCAAAAGGAGTTACGTCACAGAAGCTCCATGACTCCCCTAAACCACACCCTAAACCCCTAAGCCCTAAACCCCTAAACCCTAAACCCCAAAACCCCTAAGCCCTAAACCCTAAGCCCCTAAACCCGTAAACCCCAAACACCCAAACCCTGAAGCAGGCCTGGCAGCCCCACAGGCTGAGAGCATCCGAGCGGCCAATGACGATTCCAACCTTCCTTTCCATCTCGTCGGAAAGGGGGTGTCTGGGGTGGGCCAGCTTCATGACCACCTGCACGTGGGCACACAGAAGCCGAAGAAAAACATAGTGTCGATTCTAGGGGTTCCGGTAATATGGCAATTAGTCATCCTTGCTTTGGACATGCACGAGCCAGAAATTGAGAATGAGATGCTGCACGTCATGCCGCCTCCGCGCATTTGATGCGTGCATTCGCCATGACGTACCTGGGTGCAACGACACAGCCGTTTGAACTAACATGCCTCTTCTAGCGTGTGAACACCTGCAGGCTCCATTGCAATTAGTTCCTGTTTGTGGCTTGTATATAGGATCCTATTATTAATCCCAGAAAGGAACTACAATACTACAATCGAGCCTATGGGAAATATACGCCTAGGCCACGAGTTGAAGACTGGAGAGGAAGATGTGCGCAAGCAGATAAGGGAGGAGCCTTAATAATTAGAATAGGGTGTTGCCGCCCATTGTACTACAATTATAATAAGGAACCCCCCAAAACAGTATTGGTAATTGTTTCGGCCCCTATATTGCCGTTTGAGGCCGGTACGTTTCGAGATTTGCAGGACTTCTTGATTTCGAAATCGAGTTTCTATGCCCCAGAGGTGCAAACTCTAAAGTAGAAAGCAAGGGACGTGCTCCCAAACATAGTCAATATAGGGCAGAGAAATACAAGGCTCGGCCTCCACCGGGACCCCTCGAAAGCCTGTCTTTTTGATGACTGAAAAGCAGGAAATCATAAGAAGGAGCCCTGCAAAAAAGCAGGTCCCTTGGGGCCTGTTTAAGCCCTCCTTGGAGGTTCAGGGGTAGTTATAAGTAGGGTTATAAGTCCCTCATATGGGTTATAAGTATAGTTACCCTACTTATAACCCTACTTATAACTACCCATGAACCTCTAAGTAAGGCCCTAAACTCGAGCTTTCACGCACCCGACTGGCAGGTTGCAAACTTTAGGGCGGAGGGCTTCGACCTGGAATTGTTTCCCTGGCTGTCCTATTACCTACCCTAGTTTCTTTTGGGGCTTACCTTATATTCTAACTATGAGCCCCCAAAAGGAACTACTACGGAGCCTATGGGTAAAAGCACACAAGGTTATGCTTTTGGGATGCTGGGACCACAACCCCAAGCCTGGGTGTACTCCGAGGTCGTTCAAAAAACCGCACGCAGGAGGCTCCTGGGTGGGTGTCTACGAAGTTTGGGTTCCCGGCTTCCAATTGGAGATACAAGAATCCACTTGTCGGGTATCATGGGGAACTAAAGGTTAACCTTTTGGTTATATAGGGATTTTATAAGGACTATATTGCACGGTTAAAGGTTACCTGCTCTACTACTAGGAGATGTACAAAACTTCGACCCGGCTGACCTAGGAAACCAGCCATGCCCAAGTTGCTCCCGAGGCGTGTATTTCGACTTGTCCAGGTCCTGGCAGCAGGGCCCCCCCAAAAAAAGGACCCTTATAGTCCCATCTACTAACAGGATAGAACACTAAACCCTAAGCCCCAAATCCCTTTCAAGTAAAGAAAGCTTCTGTAAGCCCCTGTAGTACGGTAGTAGCACTCCCTCATTCTAAGAAACACGACCAGACTTCAGCTGGTTCTGGGGGCTAATTACTTGGTTGCTGGACAGGAGGGGAGAATAAAACCCAAACCCTAAACACTGGATGGTTTGGTGTTTTAAGGCTTCTCACTCCGGGGACGGCCGACTACGCTAATACTACTCCTCTTCTTGCATCGCTTGTTTTAGGAGGGGTTGGGGGGGTTAGGTACAGATTGTCAGGTAATCGAACGTCTCACACCAGGCAGTCAAGGGTGGCAACGACTGGGCTATCTGCTGTAATTAGTGTAGTGAAATTCCTGCCCCTCTGTCAAATGACAACCGAGCATTACACATTCCAACCCGTGCTGCTTCAGATTAGGGGCAGAAGGACTTTTAGGGTTGGGTATACATGTGGCACGTGGTGAGTCATATCAGCTGTGAGACAGCCAGACATCGGCATGAAGCCCTCATGAGTAGCTTTGCGCAGCGCAGAATGGCAACACGTATGTTTTAGTTCATTCTTGTACTATCTTGTACTGTGGTGCAGGTTTGAAGGGTTACGGGCTTGGGGCCCGGTCTGGGAATCTAAACTCTGAATCTAAACTGCACGCCCACGCGACCTCTGTGCCACGCATTCATATCCATTCGAGCAAAAGCTGCCCCTTCAATCAACCCTAAACTCTAACAATACTAAACTGTAAGTTCTTGATCCTATCCTCAAGCCCACGCCCTCAGCATCTCGATCTGGACAGCTGGGACCGTCTCCTCAGCAAACTTTGGCTTGATGACATCGAACGGCAATCCTTGTGCTCGGGATTGAGAGGTTCGGACTTGCAACTGCGACATGCAGGCGAGGTTGCAGGAGGGTGGCGTAAACAAAAAAACAAACGACTTCAGCGAGTTGAACATTCGGGGCAACCGGAGGTTTGCGTTCCATGGCCTTGATATTAATATTAGCAGCAGGTTTCAGGTGGCATCAAGGGAGCCTTCACTTGATATGGTAAATACACCCACTTCGGACACAACCCGAGTGGTTATCCTAGGCGCATGCCAGGAGGAATTGTTAGAACGATTTGATCAGCAGGAATACCTCACTGATATTATCATTGGTCAATATGATGCCTGCATGGTAGCAACTACAAACAGATGATCATGATCAGTCGGAGTGCCACCTGTCGTGCCAGTATGCTGAGTCGTGCCATTATGTGGAGATGCTTGCTCTGCCAGTGCTCCTACTGCCGTAGACATTGCTGCTCTTGGCGTGTATCTATCTGTTCACTATCCGTCAGAGTTCGAACATTCTCTTTGCTCTTGTTGCTGTAGGTTCGATGTTGCTGCTACAACAACAACTACTACAAATACTGCTACAGTTGCAACTGCTGCTGCTGCTGCTGCTACTTGTGCTTCTACTTCTCCGACGATCACGACGACCGCCGGCACCTCTGAACTGCCAGCACCCCTCCTCCTCCTCCTCCTCCTGCTCCTCCTGCTCCTCCTCTTCCTCCTGCCTGCGCTGCTGCTATTCCCGCCGCTGATGTCGTTGCTTGTACTACTTCGTCGTCATTACCTCAATGTGCAGGCATACGTGTCGTCTGAAGCAGGTTCGTTGCAGCCCAGCCTCCCAAAAGTCCTAGGATCTCTTGTCGCCGCGGGCTGCTTGAAGCCAAGACGATGCGGCAGTTTTCTTTCATCCATGGCACCTGCCAAATGGGAGTTTCCGAAATTCGGGGTACCTTGTTTTGGGGGTCCTTATAATCAGGATCCTACTATGTAGGGAAATTACTATATTAGCGTCCCCTCTTTTCGGAAACTCCCAAATTGCTCCGAAGGTTTGTGCTATCGGCTCTAGAGCATATACCCCACATACTTGAGAAGGCCCGGAGGGTCTTTGAAGCATTTCCATGAGATGCTCTATATCTCTACCGTACTGTTTAACTTGTATACCATCATACAAAACAAACCACTGTTTCTAGTCAGCACAGGAATTGCAGCAACAGCAAGCGGAAGTGGTCTCCACAAGGCTTCGGCACACACAATGGTCGAACCGATGTCGGCCTATGCATTACAAAGGTAGTACTGACTGACTGTGGCCCGCGCTGTGAATCCTAAACATCCGTTTTTCAGGACGGACTGAGGTGCCGGCTCTTCAACATCCCTTTTTGCTACTGGGCTCGGGACCTTTAAACCTTAAACCTCTTGACCCCATCGAAACGATCGAAGCCGAATCTATGCTTCGAACGGCCAAAGCAGCCTGCCTCCAGAAGAATTGAGGCCATCGGCTGGGCTCGAAACTGAGGGGCTGAGTACCCTAGCCCAAAAAAGCTAACCTTTTCAATTATGGTAGGGCTACATGAAACCCAGAAGGTTAAAGAGTTCAAGGTTACCTACTCAGCTACTAAGCTAAAACACACCCAAGAACCTTCTTTGACAATGCCAGCTTCGGAGGCTGCATGGCTGGGTAGATATGACGCGTCTGGCTACATGAACCGACGGCCAAATCGTCTCGAGTTTTTGCAGTCGTGACTCTTATGAACTGAATACCTGCAAGCTCACAATGTGGACCTCAAGTAAGTAGTGAGGTTGTTGAATGAACGTGCACTCCTCCTGCATTAAAATAGAAACCCTAATTGCTTTAAGCATCTATTCTGCGGAACAACATTGAAGCTGATGCTGCGGAACAGAGCATTCTCAAGTAGGGTCTGTAGGCTTACATAGGAGCGGGGTGTAGTTGTAGGGTTTGGGGTTCCGGATCTGTCGAGCTGGTTATATAGGCTGTTGACGAACACACGGCCTCTTCAAGTCAAAGCTCACGAGCCTTCAAACATCCCGCAAGCTTGGCCCGAAACACCCTAAACCCTGAACCTTAACCCTATACCCTGGACCCTAAACCCCCCAAACACCAAACAGGAAGGTGAAACTTGGATGCCACCTCGGTTCAGCCAACCTGCAGTTTTACAAGAAGGCCGTTTAGAATTAATTACATGGAATAGGGTTTTGCGGTATAGTAGCTGAAATTATAAGAATACGGAAACCCAACATAGTATTGGCAATGATTTATGATTTAGGCCCCTTTGCTACAGCGAAGCTTCCCGTATTAAGTGCAGTTGGAATATCCCAACATGGGCATCCTCGCTTCCCTTACCTTTGGTTAGTAGGGAATGGAAGAATGGTAGGAATAGTAGTTATACTTGTACCCCATTCCTCCATTCCCTACTAACCCAAGGTAAGCTCCGAATGCTCGCTGTGAGGGTTTAAGGGTTTAGGTGTTTAAAGTAAAAGCCAGAAAGTTGGAATATGATTATCCTAACCCCTTTATGGTAAATTATAATGTATCCTACCCTGAAACCATATTCCAACTTTCTGGAGTTCCCTTTAGGGTTTTTTGGTAGGGTTTCATGTCGGGTTCTTCCGTTTGTTGATAAGGGATGGCCTGAAGGAGTCGAACTGGGTTTGGGGGGTGCGTGGGGAGTTTCCGAAAATGAGGGGTACCTTTAAAGGGATCCTTTAAGGGTTCCTTAAAGCGATCTATAAGTTTATAACGGTATCATAAAGGGTTTAGGGTGTGGAGTTTCCGAAAATGAGGGGTACCTTATTCTGGGGTCCTAATAAGAAGGGTCCTACTATTTAGGGTACTATATTAGGGTCCCCTATTTTCGGAAACTCCCATGAGGATCCGGTGCGCAGACGTAGTTCCTATGTTTCCACAAGCCGAGAAGACCTGAGTTGTCCTTCAAGCCCCTTTGAAATTTATTTACAATTATGGTTCTCTACAAAATAGTAGGTGAAACTAAAAAACATCCCAAAGGACAACCCAGAGACTAGAATCCACCTCAGCCAAGAAAAACCCTAAAATTCCCAAGTCGAAACTTTTGGATGAACCCTCCTTGTCGTGGCTGTAAAGCCCTACTAGTAGAGCCCCCAACCGACAGAGTCAGATGCACTACCACGAAATGTAATGCAGTATGGTCTACACATAGCTTAATAGAAGATGCTCTAGCGTAACAGATCAGCATACAAATATACAATGCACTACAATGTCTTATACTATAGCACGAAGAACCAGGACGTTTCCGAAGTGAAAGCCCTGAGCACAACGCCCCGAGGTGGAACCCTGAGATTCCCAGTACACTTCACCTCGGCTTCGGTTCAGGGTTGAGGTTTTGGCAGGGTTGCTATAGAGTCCCTGCTTTAGGGTTGTTTCGGTTTTCCGGCACTTTCATGACACAATAGGGGGTTGCCTTCTACTTCCGTGAGGCGTAGTGTGGAGGGTGAGTTCTTTTTGAAGTCCCACACCGTCAAAAAGAACCCTAACTAAAGCCTTTTATGCCCAACATCATGAAACTCGAGAGACTCAATTACTAAGGTGCCACACAGATTCAAGATCTCAAGGCATTGGGATCTCCCGGTAACACATTGAACGAAGCCGCGCTGCCCGGAGCTGTTTGGATAGAAGACTCTGATTCACTGGAGACACAACGAAACATCCCGCAATGGAACTCAGCCCCAACGGCAACCACAGTTCTAACCCAAACTCCACAAAGTCGGACTCAAATCCCTCAGCAGAGGAACACACTCCAGGCAGCACACCCATGAGAGCACAAACGAATCTCAGCACCGAGCGGAGCATTCGAAAGCATTCCTGGCCAAGTAGGCTAGACAGTCCTTGCTTTTGTATTATTGAACATTTCAATACCTAATTGTCGGGTATCATGAGGAACTAAAGGTTAACGTTTTTGGTCATACAGGGATTATTAGGGACTATACTACCCCAAAAAGGTTAAAGGTTATATACCTACTCGACTACTAGGAATAAGACAGTCGGGAGGCCCAGAGAAGGCACGCAAGAAAAACGACAATATTATAGGGGCCTTAATAATTACCTGTACCATTTATAGTATAATGGCCCCCAAACCCTATTCTAATTATTAAGGCCCCTATAGTACGCCGAAACCTCGTCATCAAAACCATTGTCCTCTCTGCAAGGCATCGTAAGTGCTGAATGAAGGGGAATCCAGAGGCTGATGACACGCTGCTACTTTTTGACGGCGGCCCCCATGAACCCTCACCCAACCCTAAACCCTAAACCCTAAACCGTCTTTTGATCGGACAAAGATGTTGTAAAGGAGACCCAGAACTGAGGCTTGACACCTGCGTCAAGGACAGCCGCACAGCCCAAACCCTAACCGCTGCCCCACAAATCCCACACTCCTTTCCATTGTCGGTATAGGGTTTAGCTATAAAGTCATTCCTGCGGTTTAGGCTTGTCTGTTTTTCCGGGTTTACGATTCAGGCTCGAGGTTCGCGTTACACCCCCGAAACCCTAAAACCCCTACAGCTTCAACTTCCACATTTCACGAAGAACTTACAGAGGTTGGGGTTGAATGCTCGGGGCTTGCATAATTAATCAGGGTCTTGATAACGGTTATCCCGCTTGGAAAATATCTAAAACGCAGCAGGCACATCAATGAAGAAGCCTGCTGCAACAAGGCAGTGCAGTGGGTGACCTAGTAGCCAACCAAAAACCATCTTGTTCAAGGCCTCCCTAAGATGTCCGTGCGCCAACAGCAAAAGCCTAGTGGACCCAGTGCTGGGGTAAGACAGCACATAGTGAAACTATGTCTCGAACTAGGATACTTAAAACCTACCTTCCTGGTTACTAACGGCCAGTTCGTCCAGGAATCAAACCTGAAACCCAAAACTATGGGCTTAAATCTCCCCGCTTGGAAAACTCTTCCCAAGGCCTGCAGTTTAGGATATGGCACAACAATCTGCCTTAAACCGGAACTCTGCAACCCCCAAAATCGTGTAAACCAAATATCCCCCAAAACTCTAAATCCTCTTAGCCCTAAAATACATACACCCCTAAATTCTTCTGAACGTCTGCCTGTTGCTCTGTTTCTTCAAATGCGCAGGTTTTTAGAAATAGTACGGACACCTTATGAAAACGGTCCTAACAGGGATCCAACCTTCGATTCAAGAACTACCCAGGCAAAAAGATATACTTAGGCCTTAAGGTGTTCCTAACCTAAGGCCCCATAGTAGTTCCGTTTTGGGATTACCTTATGGGATTCTACATATGAGCCACAAAAAGGAACTACTGTGGGGCCTTAGGGTATATAGGTACTTTGAGGCCTACCCTGCCTTAAACCCCTTTCTTTCAGCACGGGCTTTGGGTGTGTGCCGGCAAGCTGGAGTCTTACCGAAACCCCACACCCTGAACCCTAAAACCCTAAACCCTGAAACCCAAAAACCCGAAACCCTAAACTACTAAACCCTGAACCTTAATTAAACCCGAAACCCTACATTACCCATAGGCTCCATAGTAGTTCCTTTTTGGGGTTCATATTTAGAATCCTTTAAGTAATCCCAAAATGCAACTACTATGGAGCCTATGGGTAAAGAAGAACCCGGAAAACCCTACAGTAAACCCCATGAAGTTGGAAACCGGATTAAGGCCAAATAGTGCTAGGATTCCTTGTTCTTGGCTCTTAAGGATTGAGGCTATTGGGTTTCCAACTTTTAGGCTTCGACTGTAAACCTAAACACTAAAACCCTAAACCCTACTTTAAAGAAGAGCCGGGAAGATGGGTGGCCTGAAAGCGGGTGAGGGAGCCACAAACAAACTGGGCCTCCGGGTCCTGCGAAGCAGCGGTGGGGGGGGGGGGGGTTTGAGGTTTAGAGCTTTAGGGCTTTGGGGGTTTAGGGTTTAAGGTTTCGACGCTCACACACGCACAGGCGGGCAAGGCTCTACATAGTCCGGTTTAGGGGTTTAGGGCTTAGGGGTTTAGGGTTTAGGGGTTTAGGATTTGGAGGTTAGGGTTTAGAGGTTTAGGGTTTAAGGTTTAGAGTTTAGGGGTTATGGGGTTTAGGTTTAGAGATAGGTCTGCTAACAAGTTGCGAAACTCCGCGAATGGAAGCTTCACACAGCGCAGAGGAAGAGCACTGCCCTGCAGCGCCGATGTCAGAATAGAAGGCTCTATACGTAATCAAGACTCGAGCAAGCTAACTAGGGCTGCTTTCACAATGCAGCTTCGGCCATGGCTTTTCGCCGCTAAAGAGAGTTTAAGGTTCCGGATTTGGGGTTTGGGGGTTTAGGGGCTTAGGGTTTCGGGTGTAGGGGTTTACGAAGTTTACGGGTTTGGGGTTTCGGGATCTATAGGTGTTTCGGCGCTCACACTCGGACAATCCAGGCGAGGCATTTTTTAGGTGTTTAGGGTTTAGGGTTTGTTGTTTGTTAGCGTTGGGTTTGGGGGTGCGTTCTTTCTCGTCCGAGTCAATAAAGGTGCCATATCCGTCCCCGCTGTATCCTACCCTACACTTGGCCTTGCACCCCACATCTAGTGAAACCCTGTTTCCGCCGACTTGAGAGCTTTGCAGGTCATAGCCCGCAGCAGCCACATACAGAATACTAAAAAACAAGACTGGGCTTGAGGGTTCACGGACCATCGCTCAAACCTTTAGGCCTCTGCAGTAGCTCTGAAGCTTAGGATCGGAATTGAATTTGAAAGGATAGGCTGGGTTCTTGTTAAGGGAAATTAATTTCACCATAATGAGGAAATCTTATTTGCTACAGATCCCTATGATGGTAACCTCAGTTAATTCCTTAAGAGGACCCCAGCAGGGCTAGGGATTCTCGGCCTCTTGGTTTCTGAACGCCCTAGGCTTTGCTCGGGCTTTCGGCACGAAAACTCGAACTCAGGTTAGGGTTTAGGGCTTAGGGCCCACTGCCGAGATCCTATAATCTTGTACGCACCGAAACCACGTAAGGGCACCTACAAGGGTTCCTTTGAGGGTCCCTCGCGGGTCCTTTAGAGGACCCGCAAAGGAACCCTTGCAGGGACCCTTAAAGTTCAAAGGATCCTTAAGGGTCCTTTCTGAATCGAACTTTAGGGTTTAGGGTTCGAGGTGCCAACGATCTACATCGTTCTCTCGGATTTACTTCTTTTTTGAGCAGGCCTCGTTGAAAAGATCCACGAAGGCAGCAAGTATACGTAGCGTTTAGGGTTTACCGCGGTAGTGTTTAGTCTACACCTACCTCACCGTAGTGGCCGTTGTACAGGTACAAATAGGCACTGGGATTCTTAATTACCTGCAAGCAAAACACCTATCAATCAACCACGGAAGAACAAGCATCTGCACCCGGCTTCTTCATCCCACCATGCAAGCAGCTTTACAACAAGTCAAGGGTCTCAGGCGCAATCTTAGATGGCGGGGAGCTATGCGAGACTCCGCCACAGAGCGCGTCCGCAACCGGTCTCGCGTACTTGAGTCTACAAAAGTTGAGCCAATCTCAAGGGCAGAGGCTGTTCGGGCCAGACATTCCTGGCCACAAAAAATGGCTTCGACAAACATCACAACGAGTGGTGACTTGTAATCCGACATTTCTGTAAAACGGCCTGTGAGATCGCAGCTGTGAGAGAGAGAGAGAGAGAGAGAGAGAGAGAGAGAGAGAGAGAGAGAGAGAGAGAGAGAGCCTGCTTCTGAGGGTATGTGCCTGTGTCGGCGCCTGTGTGTCATATTCGTAGTACCACTGCTGCAATGCATCGAGGCAGTAATTCGATGTTTGCAATCTGTACATCTGCACGTGCTTGCAAAGCCAACTTCGCCACGCGCAACGCTCTGTACTTCCGAATTGGGCAGGAACGCCCCTTGACATTCCCTGCCACATGCAGTCTCCCAGATGCTCCTCTGCAGGCATCACCAATACACCATGCGCACATCCGCACACTTCTGGTCCAGCATCTGACTTCGCCGCTTAAGCGGCACCGTGCTCAGACAATACCAGAAGGTGGCCACGATCTTCGTTAGCCAGACCTGAATGAAAGCAAAGAATACAGCTCCCAGCCAGAAGCTGTACATTGCAAAGGCTATCTGGCTGGCGGTGTGCAGAAAGCTGAAGCTGAGATACACAGTCACAAGCCCAAGCCGAAGGTATTTGGCACCGATGAGCCCGCAGATGGGGCCAAACATGAAAATCAGTCCTGCGACGATCACTGGCCAAGTGCCCCAGCTGGGATCCCATGGGAATATTTCGCTGTCCATGATTGCGGTGACACTGTTCAGCACGATGGTCAGGAGATTGATGAAAGCAAAGCACATGACAGCCACACGGTAATTCAAGACAACAAGCTCGTCTGGAAGCAGTGCGAAGACAGGCGCTGGGGCCGGGAGCTGGGGTGCTCCCACAATGCCGGGACTGGGGCCAGTGACTGGCATACCCTGCACAACTGGCATCTCCCCTCGCTCAGCTTGGTTGAGGTCGCCCGTCGGCTTGTTCAGGTCACTTCCAGCCATGGCTGTCATCATGGGCCTCTTCTGCAGGGTTGGGCTACTGCACGGACGGTGTGTGCATTTTCTGTGGCTTTCGACCGGGCCGGAACACCGAAGCAAAGGAGCACCGATCTCGGAATTGATGTGCACCCTAACATCTCTGGCTTCAGACTCGCAGGCCTGTGACCTCGTGCACCTGCACGCAGTTTCTTGGAAGCTGTGGCGCACTTGCGGGTGTCTTGCTGTACCAAGTTGCTGTACATCGAATCACAAGCATCGCGCGCAAACAGGGTTGGCAGTAGATACTTTGCCAAGCCACAGCCGCGCTGCCCTCAGGCTGAACTTATGTCAAGCTGGGCGAAAACAAAATCTAAGAAGTCTCGAAGAAGCAGTGCCTGAGCAGAGACCGCCACTTACACCTCGACCGAACTCCTCACGTCTGTGCCGAGGTATCGGAGCGGGACGCTCGCAATCTGTACATTTGCGATTCGGGAGTTCCGAAAGTAGAGGACCCTAACGTAGTACCTTATAAATAGTAGGATCCTTGTTATAAAGACCCCAAAACCGAGGTATCCCCAAATTTTCGGAAGCGCTAAACCCTAAACCCTAAATCCTTTATATAACCCTTCTAGATCCCTGTAGCGGGACGGTCGCAATCTGTACATTTGCGATTCGGGAGTTCCGAAAGTAGAGGACCCTAACGTAGTACCTTATAAATAGTAGGATCCTTGTTATAAAGACCCCAAAACCGAGGTATCCCCAAATTTTCGGAAGCGCTAAACCCTAAACCCTAAATCCTTTATATAACCCTTCTAGATCCCTGTAAGGAATCCTTAAAGGATTCCCTTAAAGATCTCCCCTAATTTTCGGAAGCTCTACGCCCATACAGACCCCTTATAGGGACCCTTATAGTTCCCTTTTAGTATCCCTATCAAGGAACCCTAATCCAGAGGGTCCATAGACGCTACCATTATGGAATTAGGCCCCCCGAGCCATAATAGGGATGGTCTTTTAGAGCCTAATTCCATAATGGTAGTGTATGTGGACCCTCTAGGTAAGGTACACCCCCCCCCCCCCGAACTTTCGGAAACTCCCATTCAGCTGCAAGTCTGGCTTTGCCAAGCGCAACACTCTGCCAAATCAACGGGTGAAGCAAGAGCCTCTGCAAGAACTACTATAGCGGCCTAAATAATAGTTCCTTATAGTTATAGCATACTATACCCCAAAAGCCTTTTCTAAGTATCAAGGCCCCCATATTACCAGTACACCATGTGCACCTCTTCGTCCTTCAGTTCCAACAGCTGGCTGCGATGCTCACATGGAACTGTGCCCAAACAGTACCAAAAGGTGGCCACGATCTTCGTCACCCAGGCCTGTACGAATGCGAAGAAGATCGCCGAGAGCCAGAATGAAGAGACTGCAAAAGCTAGCTGGCTTGCGCACTGCAGAAAGCTGAAGCCGAGGTACACAGTGACAAGTCCACGCTTGAGGTGTCTGGCACCGATGAGGCCGCAGATGGGGCCGAGCATGAAAACCACTCCGATGGCGATCACTGGCCAAGTGCCCCAACTAGGATGCCACGGAAATCTGATCCTGTTCACGATTGCAGTGACTACGTTCAGCACGATGGTCAGCAAGTTGATGAAGGCAAAACACATGACAGCCACTCGGTAGTTCAAGACAACAAGCCACTCCGGGGGCAGTGTGAAGACGGGAGCTGGCGCTGCAAGCTGGGGTGCGCCCACAATGCCGGGACTGGGGCCAATGACTGGGATGCCCTGCACAACTGGCATCTCCCCTCGCTCAGCTTGGTTGAGGTCGCCCGTCGGCTTGTTCAGGTCACTTCCAGCCATGGCTGTCATCATGGGCCTCTTCTGCAGGGTTGGGCTACTGCACGGAACTTCTGTGGCTTTCGGCCGGGCCCGAATACGGGAGCAAACCAGAACCATTGCGGTAATTGATGCACGCATCTGTCCATCCTGGTCTCTTAACCCAGGTCCTACACGTGTGCAGGTATGAGACCTCATGACCGCGCGTTCAATGTCTAGGAAGCTGCATTGCACTCGCACGTTTCTTTTGCAACGATACGAGTAGCTATACATCGAATCACAAAAACCGTGCATGAATATGGCACGCCAGGCCACAGCCAGCTGTGCCGCCCTGATGAACTTACGTCAAACAGGGCGAAGCCAAGTCTAACGACGTCTTGAAAAAACAGTGCCTCAGCGGCAATCGGGGCTCCGATGTCAACCGAAGCTCTTCACATATGTGCCAAGGTATCGAAGCGGGACTGTCGCAATCTGTACATCTGCGATATAGCTGCAAGGCTGGCTTTGCCAAGCACAACACTCTGCTGGAACAAAGGGTGAAGCAAGAGCCTCTGCAAGAACTACTATGTAGCCTGAATAATAATCAGTACTGTTTTTTTTGGGTTCCTTACTGCTATGAATCATAATAGTTATAGCATATTATATCCCCAAACCCTATGAGTATTGAGACCCTTATATTACCAGTACACCATTTGCACCTCCTCGGTCTTCAGTTCCATCAGCTGGCTGCGATGCTGACGTGGAACCGTGCCCAAACAGTACCAGAAGGTGGCCGCGATTTTCGTCACCCAGGCCTGCACGAACGTAAAGAAGATCGCCGACAAAAAGAATGTCGAGACTGCGAAAACTATCTGGCTTGCGCAATGTAGAAAGCTGAAGCCGACATAAGCAGTCACAAGTCCACGCTGCAGGTAACTGGCACCGATGAGCCCGCAGATGGGGCCAAGCATGAAAACCACTCCGATGGCGATCACTGGCCAAGTGCCCCAACGAGGATCCCAAGGGAACATGTCCTTGTTCACTATTGCAGTGACCATGTTCAGCAGGATGGTGAGCAGGTTGATGGAGGCACAGCACAGGACAGCCACTCGGTAGTTTGAGACCTATACTGAACTTAGAGCCCTAGCAAAAATTATCATTTTAGCTGTTTCTTAGGGATTATAATAACCAAGAATTAAATTTTTTCTAAATACCCCTAAGAGACTACAAGCCACTCAGGGGGCCGTGTGAAGACAGAGGCTGCGTCTGGAAGCTCAAGTGCTGCCACACCGTCGGGACTCGGGCCACTGACTGGGACACCCTCCTCGACCGTCACCTGGGTAGTTGTCAAAATTAAGGTCCCTTTTTGGGTACCCTAAATACTAGGTGCCGTACTACAATAAGGACCCAAAAAGGGGCCATAATTTTGACAACCACCCACCTCCCCTCGCTCAGCTTGGTTCAGGTCGCCCGTCGACTGGCTCAGGTCACTTCCGCCCGTAGCCGCCATGAGCACAGCTAAGCCTGTTTAGTTTTTGTAACTTTCTCGGGCCAGCGCTCTGAAATCTTCATAGGGATCCTTAGGGGTGTAGGGGGGAGGGGTGTAGGGGACTATATTTCCTTAAATAGGCCTTATTAGTCCTTATTATGGGCCTTAAGGCCCCCTACCCCCCCTCCCCCAACACCCCTAAGGATCCCTATGAAATCTCGAACCACTTCGGATGAAGGCCTCCTCTAGATACCAAGACCCTTCTTGTACCCTCAAGCAGGGTATCTGGTGCAAAGTATATAATGGGTACTTAGGGTCTAAGAGAGGGTAGATGGAGGGTCTAGGTATCTTGCCTGCAGTTTTCTACTCAGTTTTTGACATCTGCTCTTACCATGGTGACTGCTTTTCTGAAAGCTCTGCAAAAAACAGCAATTTTTGGGACTTGGCCCATGGCCTGCTGCACCACGTAGCCCTGCACTAGGTCTCGGAGCTCCTGGCCCATGGGTATAGGTTGGGTACGGCCCCCACTAATAGTTGCATAATATTCATAATACAGATACATTAGGACCTTAATAGTAGCCCTACTATGGACTCTTACTGTATGGGGGCAGTAACTAAGTAAAAGGGTCTTCAATTCTTGCCGGAACCGGGCCACCTAGAGGCAAGATAAGGGGTCTAGCTTTCGGAATGAAAGCAAACGAACGTGGTTCAGCATGTCAATGTAAAGGATCTAGAACTCTGACCAAAAAAAGACACACTTCACTTGTCAACAATGATTGAACCAGCTGTTGGGCGAGGGCAGCTTCTTCGATGTCAGAATTTGACAGAATGTCTTTTGGAAAATTCACCTGGAAGGAAAACTGCTTCAGAGCACATCGAAGGCAATTACAGAAGCATAGCCGCCACGGCCAGGCTCGTGCTCAAGGTCTATTCTGGACCTGCGACAATGTCGCTGTTGAGCAGCATTTCTGGCCGTTCACTGTCACCGTCATTTTGTCATCCGTGTTGTCTGCACTCGGTCAAATGGGTTGATCCTAGCTAAGGCTAAGGCGGACGATGCCTGTCGCGGGCTAGTGACTAGTGGTGCTGTTGCTTCTCTTGCTGGGTATGCGGCCGGCGAACCAGCATCCTACATCTCATAATGTTATCTGGCATTCGGGCGTAGACACCAACGACGACGATGATGCTGGTGGTGGCGACGGTCAATCGGAGTGGGACTGGTTGATAGAGGGGCCTTCATGATCAGAATAGGGTTTGGGGCTCATTATACTATATTTACTGTAAATGTCACAAGGAGCTGCCAAAATCGTACACATACTTATGAAGGCCACTATAGTATGCACAATGATCGTATCCATGTTAAAAGCAAGTCTGGCGGCCTTCTTGTCTTCATCCGTCAGCGTCTCTGCCTCAGCTAACGGGCTGCATGGGCCGTTGGCGCACAATTCAGGCGTTCCTCTGCAGGTGTAGGCTGGAAAAGCTTCAGGCACCCAGTCGAGCTAGGGAAACAGCTCGACATGCGTGTGCGGGGGTGCTGACGGCATTGTGGAGGAGTCTGGGCAAAAGGGGGAGCTGCAAGCATTCTGCTACATTGAACCGCGCATACGCTGTAGGCGCGAAGTGGGAAATTACGGCAGAGTTTCAAGTTTAACGCGGATTTAAACTCGAATTTGTGCCTTTTGCGTGTTCCTAAAGTGAAGTAGAATCAACTCCTCCCTGAAGCTTTGACTGTCAATGGCGGCCAGACGCCGATACACCAGCAATTCCAGACCTGGCGGATAACATCGAAACCCTCTCTGAGACCTTCTCAAGCCCCAAACACTATGATCACCATAATGTAGAATGATATAACAAATAAATCCACATGAAGTACGATGCAAGACTCTACTATTATGCGGTATGATAATATTATTAACCCCATATAGTAACTCTAAGGCACTACCTGTCCGATCCCAGGCTGCCCGGCACTCTCGTCCCCATTGAGGAGCGTCAGCTCATCCTTACGGGGGGGATCTAGAAAGTAGACCCTGAACCCCAGTCTGGAACTCTATACTACATAAAGGGTGCTTGAAAGGAACCCTCAAGGGATCTAATTTGTAGAACCTCCAACTGAGGACCCTACTACCACAAGGTACGGTATAGGAAACCCCTGAAGGCATCTACTTTGTAGATCCTCCCAGGGCTCTTTTTGCACCATGGCTAGCGCTCCCACACTGCTGTCTACTCCGAGGAGGCCTCATACACAATATCAATTTACTATACTGAACTTAGAACCCTAGCAAAAATTATAATTTTAGCTGTTTCTTAGGATTTATAGTAACCAAAAATTAAAAATTATTTCTATGTACCCCTAAGATTACTCTACAGGCAGGTTTACAGTCTGCAGTTTTAGCGGCAATGCAAAGAACAGCCTAGGCTTAGCATCGGCCATGCGACCCAGCTGCTTCCTCCGTCTGAGCTATTGAACCCTGAAATCCTTTCTTATCCATTCTTCAAAGGGAAACTAGACGGCCAAGCTTTGTCATCATGCTGAGATTTGTACGAGGGTACCTGCAACGAGGCTACAGGCTGCTGAGGGGCCCTAATATTGAGAATAGGGTTTTGGAGGCTCCTTATTACAATTATAGTATAATGTACCCCCAAACCGTTTTCTAATTATTGAGGCCCCTACATTATAGTACTTTTGTAGATCCCTTCTAGTAACCCCTAGAGACGCCTTTTTAGGAGCCCTATTCTAATCAGGAAGGCTCCTATGTTAACGACAGTCGCAAGCAAGTTTGGCCTACTTGTCGGGCATCGTGGGGAACAAAAAGGTTCACCTTTTTTGGTATATAGGGATTGTATGGGGGCTGCACTAACCAAAACAGGTTAAAGGTTACCTACTCTACTACTAGGTTGGGCTCGGCAACCAGGCGGCTTTGAGTTCGGTGACTTCCTTCTTCAAGCGGCGGATGAGCAAAGCAGGGTCCAATTCCTGCGAGGTTGCTATAGGAGCATTAAGAATTAGAATAGGGTTTTGGGGCCATTATACTATAGTTATAACAAGGAACCCAAAAAAAGTGTTGGTAATTTTTTTAAGCCCCTATATTACCCGCTTGATGCTGACAGATCACACATGCAGGCGCATCTTGCGACAAGCTGTGAAAAGCGTCGTCGGTGCCAAGCATCCATCTCTAAATGGGAGCTTCCGAAAATACGGGACCCTAATATAGTACCCTAAATAATAGGATCCTTATAACGAACCCCAAATAAGGTACCCCTATTTTGCGGAAACTCCCAAATTAGGGTTCAACCCAAAACAAGGCGACACCCTCATAAAAAAGGACCTTAAAACGGACCCTAGAAGGGACCCCAGAAGGGACCCTAATTCAGAGATCCTAAGCAGAACAGGCCTCGTTGATGGTTGCATTGTTCTTAATCGCCGCGACCCGCTGAGCAAACCGGCAGGTGGAGATTGACCTGTGGAGGCATTCAAGTCAACTCCCGCGCACTTGAAGTGAGCAATCGCTGCTCATCCCTGGACAGCTGACTCGACTGAACAAGCATCTATCTCGAGCCTGTCGGCTTCGACTAGATAGAGATCGCGTAGCCCTCCTCCCCAAACCGCAACGATCTCATGCTTCTAGCGATTGAAATTTCAGATGCGCGGTTGTTTGTATAGTTGACGCATTGGATCCTAGACCAGTGACGTATCAGCGCTGCGCGCTTTCAGGAGCCCCACCGACTGTAGGGCTTAGGCGGCGATGCAGGTGTTGGAGCATACCCTAACCCACCAAAACCTACTTTTTTGTGGAGTCCCTATAAATCACATATTAGGGTTTATAATAAGAACCTACAAAGAAGTAGGTTATGGTAGTTTAAGGTAGAAGACCGGAATCCGAAAGCGCTCCAGCACCCAGAGCTTTCGGATGCTTGGAACTTTTCTCTTCAAGTATGGGCTGCAACGAATGGGTGGTTGTCAAAATTAGGGACCCTTTTTGGTTCCCTAATATAATACAGCACCTATCATTTAGGGTACCCAAAAAGGGACCTTAATTTTGACAACCACCCTAATGGTTTTGGGGTTTGGATCCTCGAAGCAAGGCTAGCGAACAAGACGACACCGGCAACAACAGCAGCATCGATCACACACGCACAGCCGCTGACAGAACCATATTCAGCTGGCCCTCAAATCTAATATAGGGGCCTTCACCCATTATACTAGCATGATATAATAAGGAAACCCCAACATAGTACAGGTAGTTATAGCAAACCTGACTCAAGAGCACCGGGGGTGTCTCCACCAGGGTTGCGGCTCCTCCAAGTGGCGGTCTTCAATTGCTGCAGTGCCGACCATGACGGTCTTGCAGTTCCCACCTCTTTCGGGTTTTCGGCGTGTCTTTCGCTTTTTCTTTTGTTGAGGGCCTTTCGGGTTTAGGGTTTTAGGGCTTTGGGGGAAATATGACAGATGCTTCTGGCGGGCCGATTTTCTGTACTGCTTGAACCGAAGCGGGACTGAACAAAATCTTCGAAACCGGGTACACAGCTGAAAAACATCAAAGTGTGCAGTCGTTGTCAAGCCAAAGCCCGATGTGACGAAGCTCGTGACTACGAGCAACCGAAGCCCAAAACTCTTAAAGGGAACCCCAGAAAGTTGGAATATGGTTTCGGGGTAGGGTACCCTATAATTTACCATAAAGGGTTTAGGATAATCATATTCCAACTTTCTGGCTTCTACTATAATCCCTAAACCCATGCAGGCACCAAGAGCTCTGTTGATCGTCGAGTTGTTCAGGATTGTATCGTTAAAGTGTTGGGTTTGAAGGCCAACAACAACACACCTACTTGTCACACATCAGGCCATCATCCACCACTCTTGTGTTGCAGTGCTTGTGCCATGGCACCCACTCTGAAAATCAACATGATGATTCATAGCGTTTAGGTTTATAGGATTGGGCGACTCATCGGATTGCCCAACTTGTTCTCCGTGCGTCTAAAGTCTTGCAAGCATACTTCAGGCAGCCTAAGGCCTACCGAACACATCAGGAATCTGGCCCCGGCCGCAAACCCTAAACCCTGAACCCCTAAACCCGAAACCCCTAAACCCTAAAATCCCGGCCGCATCTTGCAGGTTGATCACAGACTGGGAGTTGGATTCGCACACTGGATCCATGGTTCGAAGGATGAGGCTCTATCCGAAACGTTATGGCCGTCATGGGAGTTTCCGAAAATTAAGGGCACCTCTTTTTGGGGTCCTTATAATAAGGATCCTACTATTTAGAGTACTACATTATTATCCCCTATTTTCGGAAACTCCCTTATGGAACTTTAAACGGACCTTTACAGGAATCTCACAAAGACTCTGGGACTGGATGGGCAGAGATTCGAAGAGAGGGTTGGCGGTGGAAATTGAAAACTGAAAGGCAAGTGCCAAGCCTACACCCAACCCGCTAAGTCCAGTCTTGTGGCCTTCACAAGCTCTTGACAGAACTTAACCACAAACACTGCTACTATTTGCTTAAGAACCACCAAAAAATAAAAAATATATATATAATAATATATATATATATATATATATATATTCTTTATGGGGTAATATAGGGATTCTTATTTTTATTTTTTGGTGGTTTCTTAAGCAAATAGTAGACTAAATCTTCTAAGCCCCAGCCTCAAGCCCCAAGCAACCCAGTCTCCGCAACCCCTCTAAAGCCCTCAACGTGCAACCAGAAAGGGTCAAACTGGCACAGAACTGGGGCCGGAACCGAGGGAATCTCGAAGGACAGAGGTCATCATGGAATTCCTGCCGGGCTTTGAATTCTTTTTGTTCAGGATTTCGCTGATTTAGGGCTCTTAAGGTGTTGAGGCACTCCACCACGTTCAGATGTTCGTTGCAGGTTCGGGCTCTCATGTTAGAAGGTGTTGGCCCCGCAAGGGAAGCGGTCTTCTCGAGAAGGCGCTTGGCAGTTGCCCTGAAAAAGCCGAAACAGTCTAATGTCAGGGCCTTAATAGAATAGGGTTTGGGGGGTGTATTATAAACCCGATTCTAACTATTAAGGCCCCTATAGTATGCCAGTCCTGTACGGCACATGGTGGCGGGCTCCAGATGAGCGCTCATGCAGGGCGACGATGACTTGCTCCAGGTAGTGCCTCAGAGTCTAGGGGAGCCAGCCTAAACCCAGAGCGTGGACAACATCGTCTTTTCGGGTCTTTATTTTGCCTCTACCATCCCTCGCCCTCCCTCCCTCCCTCTCTGCATGTTGATCTCGTTCTTCTTCAGCACCAACACGGAACAGTGCTCTTGCGCTGCCCCTGCGTGTTTGCGCGCACTGGATGTCTCTCTCTCTCTCTCTGTCTCCCGCCCTCTCTTTCTGGCTCTGTCAAGTCAGGTTCGATACATGGAAAGCAGGCCCTGTGCAGGTTTTCTCTTAAGGCTGTGCGATCCAACGTCTTCAGTGTTGAACGTCACCGGCCGGATCTGTCACCTGAAACCCGCCATAGACTTGTTTCCAAACTAGCTTGCTGATACTTGTTGCGTCGCTGGTGCCTGCAACCGGTGCTGCGAACTAGAGCAAAACCGCTTATTTGCAGTACATAAGTCGTGCTGCGAGCCACGGGGGCACACGAAAGCCGGTCGCTGAGGTACCAGCAGGGACAGGTTGATGTAGCGGGCCTCCTTCTGCAAGTCACCTTCAACCTGGCAGAGTACCGGGTTCGCGCAACGGCCCTTTAATCGATCTTTTCTGGTCTTTAAGAATTTCATGGGTATTTCAAGTATAATAGAGGGCAGTTGGAGGTCCAAGTACAGTGCTCGGCTTAGGGCCTAGAAGCATCATTTGGCCTCAGCATGAGGGTTTGAAGTTTCGAGTACCGCCCTCTTCCACAACCGAAGAGTCACATCAAGCATGTTTGTACAAGGGGACAAGCACAGATAGATCTCAATAGTTTGTGCAATACGTTCGATAGAAGACCCCGGCCTAAACAACACTACGGCCTGGAAGTGTTGAACAGTGGATCATCTTGACAAATAGAAGTCTGTGTTAAGAACGTTATATCATAACTGCATGTTTTCCGGGTGCCGCAAAGGCAACTGCAGACTCTTGCTGTCGTCTCAAGACCCCAAAAACAACAAAAGCCTGAAAACCCAAACTCTTAGACTCCCGAAGCCCCGAAACCAAAAATCGCCCATAACCCTACCCCCCCCAACCTCAAAAAAAGCCGTCAAGGTGCACACCCTAAAACCCTGAACCCAAAAGCCTTGAAAGTCCAAACCCTAAACAACCCTAAACCCCCAAAGCCCAGAAACCCAAAAAGTTCCGAAACCCCAAATCCTAAACTTCCTAAAGCCAAAAAGTTCTGAAACCCTATACCCAAAACCCAAAAAGCCCTGAAACCCAAAAAGTTCCGAAACCCAAGATCCTAAACCCGCCTAAAGCCAAAAAGTTCTGAAACCCTACACCCTACAGCCTGAAACCTAAAAAGTACTGAAACCCTATACCCAAAGCGCCCTGAAACCCGCAAAAAGTTCTGAGACCCTAAACCCAAAAAGAACTGAAACCCAAAAAGTTCTGAAACCCTAAACCCAAAACGCCCTGAAACCCAAATCCTAAACCCAAAAAGCACCGAAACCCAAAAAGCCCTGAAACCCTAAACCCAAAAAGCTCTCAAACCCAAGTTCCGAAACCCTACACCCAAAAAGCCCTGAAACACCAAAAGCCCGAATTCTGAGGCCCTGAACCCTAAACCCAAACAGTTCCGACACCCTAAACCCAAACCCAAACAGTTCTGAAACCCTACACCCAAAAACCCAAACAGTTCTGAAATCCTAAACCCAAAAAATTCCGAAACCCAAAAAGCCCGAATTCTGAGGCCGAAACCCAAAACGCCCAAAAAGTTCCGAAACCCTAAACCCAAAACGCCCTAAAGGTCGAAGCAGCCGCAAGCTGAGGCTCCTGCACCGCTCTTAGAGATACGCTCGCTTCCAGCCTTGCGGCTAGGCATCTGTAGGGTCCCTTTTAAGGGATCTTTAAGGCTCTTTTAAGGGATTTATGGGGTTTAGGGCTCTAAGGCTCTTTAAAGGATTTTTCGAACCCTACCTGGACCCCAAAAGTATGTAGAATAGTAGCCTTTTATAGGTTTGGGGCCATTATTTCACCTACTTTTGGGGGTCTAGGAAGGGATCTTTAAGGCTCCTTTAAGGGATTTTTAGGGTTGAGGGTTCACAAATCCTATTCCAATTATTAAGGCCCCTACGATCCTAGAGAAGCTCATATCCCTTAATTCAGGAATACCTAGGGTTCCTTAACAAGGGGATCTACAGGGGTTCTATGAGCGGGGATTAGGGTCAACGTAGAGGCGATCCCCTGCTGGGCCACGACCGACACAAGTTTAGGGTTTAGGGTTTAGGGTTTTTTTGCCTCCTGCATGGCTGAATACACGAAGCAGGGATACAAGTCCATAGTTGCGAATTCTAGCTCAGTTCGAGCATCTTGCACAGCAAGGGTTTATCAGCATTGAGGATTTAGGGTTTCGGGTTGCTCTCTGCAAGTTGCACGCCACCACTGCCCAGGGGACTTACCCTAAGGCTTCTAAGGCTGTCTTGGGCTTCTGGGGGAGGGTTTCGGCTTTGGGGGCTAGGGTCCGGGATCTCACTACGAGGGTCCAGGAGCCTTAAGGTAATAAGTGGTTTATAAACAGAGACATAAGTACCCTAAATCGAGTTACCCCTGGGCCTCCAAGTAGGCCCTGCGATGCTAGAGACTCCCATATCGCTTTAAGGAATACCTAGGGTTCCTGCAACCGATCTATAAGGTTCAGGGTTTAGGGGACTCCCATTTCCCTCAATAAAGGAATAGACCTTAAATGATATTAGGGATCGTACTATACTTTAAGGCATATTCCGTAGTTAAGGGATATTGGAGTCTCTGGATCCGAGAGGTCTCTTCATGCAGAATCCCTTAAATAATGATGAGTGGTTGAGGGGTTGAGGGCTTCTAGGGTTTAGGATTAGGATCATCTAGGGGTTTAGGCCCAAACTACGGGCATTGGGGGCAGCTTTACAAAGGTGTTAAAAGGTGTGCAGAGTTGTGCCTCGGGTAATGGTCCTTACCTACAGGGGCGTTTGCGTTCCTACTAGGATCGACGCCGCAAGACTTCTTCCAGGGCAGCTCCTGCTTGTCGGGTATCATGGGGAACTTATATAGGGACTATACTACGCAAGAAAAGTTAAAGGTTACCTACTCTACTACTAGGAACTGAGAAGCCCAAGCCGCCTCCCTGGTCCTTCTCCCAGGAGACCCATAAAGAACCAAAAGACCCAAAACCCCGAACCTCCTCATACCGATCTTGAGTCAAGCAGCAAGATCCACCAGGTGTAGCTTGGCTCTACGCACCTGACTTAGTCTAAGGGTTTAGGAATCTCAGTCCTGAGTTTAGGCTTGCTAGGGATGAAGGTTGAAGGTTGTCAGGGTTCTGGGTTTAAGGTTTTTTTGGGATGAGGCTTTGGGGTTCAATTTGAGCGTCTAGGGTTCTGGCTGCGAGCGCCTCTCGTCGAAAATTACTCAAGGACCGGGTTTCTGCTGCACTCTCCAGAGAGGCACATCTCGCAAGTTCTTTCTGCACTCGCGGCTCCAGATCGGCGTGCCTGAACTCACCCCAAACCCTTCGGGACAATTTAACTTTGGGTATTCTTAGACAACGTCGCAAAGCTACCAGTCAGCTGCCCTGCTATCACCCCAAAGGCGGCCTTTTCGCACCAGTGAATATGCATCCACCGGAAGCGGGTCAGTAACAGAGCTGATATTCCAGGGGCGGCACAACACCCAAGCCAGAATGGGGTTGGTCTATTCAGTTTACTAGGATACCCAGTAACCTAAGAATAAAAAGGCCTCTCTTTTTGGTATTGGGTAACTTTATAAGGAACCTAGGACTACAAAAAGGGAATAAGGGTACTACTGGGCATCCTAGTTTACCCTTTTCCCTAAACCCCAAAGTCCGCAGGTGCCAGCATGCTGTGCTGGCTCGAGGCAGGGGCTGTGTCAGAGTTCGCCTGTGTTGACTCCACCCACATGATGAACCTGAGCAGGGCACTACCATGGGAGTTTCCGAAAAGGAGAGGTACCTTACTTTGGGGTCCTTATAATAAGGATCCTACTATTTCGGGAAACTTCCACATATTCTTCTGGTTTCAGTATACCTAGCAGATTCTACGATGGTATATTATATGTATGTTATTCTGGTATAGTGTAAGCAAGAACAGGACCTGAAAAGACAGAGCTAAAGACCTGGTTCAAAGATAACGCTAATGACATAAAGACTGATGTACGGCAAAATCACAGAATAGAATAGAACATAATTAAACTTACTGTGATATGATGTCATATCAGGGTGTATAAGGTGCAACCTAACATGCCATTCCCATCCCGGGCAGAATGAGCACGTTGGTGCTGCAGGCAGTCAGCCCAGGCAAGCATCGCCCTACCTGGACCCCCAAAGTATGTAGAATACTAGCCTTTGAAAGGTTTTGGGCCATTCTTTTACCTACTTTTGGGGGTCTAGGTAGACACCTTGCAAGGCCCCGAAAAGCCCGAGACTGGTCTGCCTTGCCGAAACGTTGCCCGGAACTGGAATTGCCACTTTCACTCTGAGGTTCGGGCATGCAGTGGCTTCCTTGGGGCAGGCAGCAGTTTCTCGGGTTCGCAATGCTGGCACTGAGAAGACTACGGGATGCACCTAGATTCCTGGAGTTTCCGAAAATAAGGGACCCTAATATAGTACTATCCTTATTATAAGGACCCCAAAATAAAGGGCCACTAATTTTCGGAAACTCCCATGTGTTCACAGGAAGCTGCTGCGCTGCATGGCCGCCCCTACCCTGCCTACCCTGCTGATTAATGTAGGAACCTGGTTAAGAAACCCTGGGCCTAAAACCCCAAAATAGCAGGCTTCACATAAGGAACACAAGGAACCCTATTAAAGGCCCAAGGTTTCTTAATCAGGAATACGGTTTTTGGGCCCATTATACTATAATCATACAAAACAACCCCAAAATTGTATAGGAAAGAAATTAAGCCCCCTATAGTATGATGCAAGCATCTGGTAGACACATCGTTCATGGGCGTCTCTGCGACGACTCTGTTGGTGTCTCCGAGGAAGAGCAGATTTAGCCTTCCATGGGTTCTTGTTAAGGGGTTTGATTGAAGTTAGCATAATAAGGACATATAAGGGTTCCTTCAAGGGTATAGGCGTTTAATTTAAGTCAGCATAAGAAGGAAACCATATTATTTACTATAGATCTCCATCATGGTAACTTAAGTTACACTCCTTAACAAGAACCCAGTCAACTGGCTGCGCATCCGGAACACCCGGAGACTCAAGAGAAACCTAGCGAACAAAAATGTTATCTTTTTGGTTTAAAGGGGCTTCTAAGGAAACCCTAACCCTAAAACAACGGGAATGCGATCCTACTCCAGGTCCTAGACCCAGAGGCTCAAAAATGCCACTTCCTTATAGGGTCCCTGCCTTTTTCGAGGCATCCTTCTATGAAGTATTGCTCTTCCCTCATGAAAAGTAGACTAGCAGTCTCAGGGTAACGGGCTCGGAGCTAGGCTTTTCTGGCAGGACCTCTCATGTTCCAAGGGCCTGAGTAGCTGCGACAAAGCTTCGGTGGATGGATGTGTATATAACCCTAAACCCTAAACCCTAAACCCTAATGTACATGCAACTATGCATGCCACATGTACAGATTTGCTGACGTTACTGTAGCGGCCAGGGGCCGCAAACCAAGCACGGAACTCTTTTGCTGGCTAGTTCCCATGCATTCAACTATGCTCGTCTTACTGTGCGACACCGAGAACGACAAGAATGACAAGGATAACAATAATCACATCAATGATGTTTTCATGCTGATATAACAATGGAACACGGACCGACTGTTCGGAGACGTTGTGTTCGCAATTTTGGGTCCGAGACCCAAAGATTCAAAACCAATGGCGCGTGAACCCTGAAGCTAAACACCATGAACACATACTCAAAACACATGCCGTAGCGAAGAAGGCAGATTAGGGAGCTTAGGGTCTGCATCTCTACTGTAGCAAGAGCGACCTGCCGATGACAAGCCACAAGGGTCTAGGGTTTGGTAGAACGCGACTGTAACTCGAGAATGTTCACATCACCACCACCGGTTCACCACACAGAACCCCTAATCGAAACCCACGACCAGGCACAAAGCCCTAAATCTAAAACCCCTAAACCCTAGACCCTAAACCGCTAGGTATATACCCTTAATATAGCTATCATATACCCAGTATATAGCGCATTGTAGGATAGGGGTCCCCAACCCACAAAGTGTTCTTGCAGGCCGAGCTGCGCATCTTCCTCCTTCTGAGCCATGTTCACGGACAGGTTGCGGAGATGGATATTTCCATCCTGCAGGGAAGTGTCTTATAAGAAGCAGGCCGCAGCTGCAAGCACTCTAGTTGAATCAGCTACCATGTGTGGATTGCGCTACTTTACCTAACTTACCCCAACATCGAGAGGCCTGCATGCCAAACCCCGGCGCTAGGAGAACGCGACTCAAGGATTCAGCACGCCATCTCTACACCCTTCCGGTCCTTTCAGCTACAAACCTTGCTTCTTAGTTGCTGAGTTCATAAGCCCCAAGAAGTGTACACCTTCAGTTTTATGGTGGGTAATACTTTCCCAATAAGTGTAAAATGTATCCACTCAGCTACTAAGGCTTTGTCTCCAAGCCCCTATGAGTTTGAGGGCCTTGCCACGCGCACGACTTCAAAGATTCCATCCGGCTACTGGGGTCTTGAGGACGAAGCGAGGGTTCGATGCTAGTCTAGTCATGTACAGGGACAATGAGGGGACATCCTTATGAATTGTTCGTCACTACAATACCAGTTCGTGCAGTTCATAAAGGGGCCTTATTGATTAGAATAGGGTTTTGGGGCCCATTATACTATTATAGGGAGCCCCAAAGTATTTGTAATTCTTGAAGCACCTATCCTAAACCCGAAGCCCTATAGATCCCTTAAAGGAACCCTTAAGGATCCCTTTAAAAGCCACTATATTGCGAGTCAGGGGGAGAGGTCCCTGGCTTTTGGGCCATTGAGGTGCTTCGCACTTCCGGACAGCACCGATGAGGCTTCGTGCAAGACCGTGATTAGGGTTTAGGGGTTTAGGGTTGGGGGGTTTAGGGGTTTAGGGTTCAGGGTTTCAGCCCCAAACTCCGGACCGAGACCTCCCAGCACGCCCCAAGTATCCTGTAATAGAGCACTTAAGGTATAATGAAAGAGGGTAGCCGGGTAGTTGGGGTGCTGGTCAACTATGACACCCAGTTCTTGGGAGACGGCTAACTAAGGGCTCAATCCGTTTGCGCTGCTTACGCCACGTGGTGCCATGACAGGTATGCGTTGAGGCTAGAGACTTGCCTAAACCCCCGAAAGTAGGTAAAATCATGGCTCCAAACCTATACAAGGCTAGTATTCTAATTACATACTTTTGCAGTCCAGTTTTTATCTTGCAAGACCTTGCCGATAGAACGGCAAGCTTCAGGGTTGCGTGCCAGGACCATCTTGCTCGGACTGCCTGAACATGATGGCGTGCACTACTACTACTACTACTACTACTACTACTACTACTACTACTACTACCACTACCACTACTACTACTACTACTACTACTACTACTACTACTACTACTACTACTACTACTACTACTACTACTGCTACTGCTACTGCTACTGCTACTGCTACTGCTACTGCTACTGCTACTGTACTGCTACTGCTACTGCTACTGCTACTGCTACTGCTACTGCTACTGCTACTGCTACTGCTACTGCTACTGCTACTGCTACTGCTACTGCTACTGCTACTACTACCACTACCACTACCACTACCACTACCACTACCACTACCACTACCACTACCACTACCACCACTACTACTACTACTACTACTACTACTACTACTACTACTTCTTCTGCTGCTACTACTACCGCTACAACTACCGCTACAACTACCGCTACCGCTACCGCTACCGAAACCGCTGCTACTACCACTACTACTACTACTGCTACTACTGCTACTACTACTACTACTACTGCTACTACTACTACTACTACTACTACTACTACTACTACTACTACTACTAGAAGCCGATCATACCAGTTTATGAGCCAGCGAAGGCCCAAAAGCTACAACCTCCAAGAGAGAGTGAGAGAAGAGCTAGGCACAAGAGACACCGCCCCCTGCTCGTCCTCGTCCTCTCTGAGCTGCACTTTGGGGAGGTCCTCTTTCAGTCTTCAGGCTTGCTGCGACGTCATGCTGCGACGACTGACTCTGTTTACAACTGCTACCAGGTTAAGCTTCTGCTTCGCGGTAAGACAGTGTCAAGAAGGATTGTCTTACCACTATTGATGTGGCTGTTGTTCTTATCGCTGCTGTTCTCATCACCACCACTGCTAGTACCCATGTTCCATTTCTCAGTTGCACTAGTCCAGTGGCACCAGTGTTGAGGTGACCCCTAGTCGCCCCTCATGTCATGCTTGTTTTTGTTTACCGATCTGCTGTTGCGTCACGGTTGCCAATGCTACAGCAACTACCAAACAATACTAACCCTAAACCCTAAACCCAATTTCGAGCATCAAGAATATTTCCGATTGCTCAGTTCACTAGGCCAGAAAGGACTAGCCTTGTAGTCACGGCGAATGTGTGTTTACTACAAACTTTTAAGCCCCACGCTACGCCCTACATGGCAAGCCGAAGGCTACTCGCTCGGCCCTAAAATGTCGTGTCAGTTTTGTTTTCCAGTATACTGGCGATAGTCAAGTACAGAAAATACACACAGCAGCAATAATAGTGAGAGTGATAGAACCTTAACTTGAAAACCATGACAGCACTCTCTAAATACGGCGAGAGTTTCAACACATGAGGATGGATCTATACTTTTGGTGGTTACAGGTGGAGCAGAGCTACATACAGTATGCGACTACATCCACAGGGATGCGTGGCCCAACAATCTGCCTACACGGCATCTCAAACCTTCCATACAACCTGCAGCCCCAACCCCAATCCTTTGACACCCCAAAATAACGTAACCCTGTACCGAAATCCCCAAGACAGGGGCCTTAATAATTAGAACACGGTTTTGCGGTACAGTATACTGTAATAATGAGGAGCCCCCCAAAATTGCATAGGTAATTATTGAGGCCCCTTTCTTACAACCCAAAACATCGGCACATGACGGGACGGACGGACTTGCGGACGACAAATCGACGGACGCATGCCTCCAGTCCACAGTGATGCCTTTGTGCCATGTAGATGTTACCTTGACTTCTCGTAGGGACATTTTTGATGTCCGGGTGTAGTGCACCCATAGTAACTTAAACCAAACAGCAGTGAAGTTTCGGAGTGACAGCTTCGAACTTACGAGACTTTTTCTGACTCGATTCTCGCCGTGTTGCTCGTGGGAGAACCTGTCTGAAGCGCCTGCTGGTCCAACACAAGCTACACATTTCTCCATCAGGCATGACCCCAAACCTACACCCTAAACACAAAACGCTTCGGATTGAGGGTGGATGCTCTTGGTTTCGAAGCGAAGGCGTTGGGAAGAGCTGGCACTAGCAGAATAGAAGCACGTCAAGTGACTTGGGAGTTTCTGTGTAAAAGGAGTGTCACATGAACCTGATACATAGGGTCTTGAGTCTTGAGTAAGAAGACCCCCATAAATAAGGGACTCCTAGATGTCAGGACCCCCCATCACTTCATGTGCTTAACTTGGTCTCTCCCTTTGGATGCCTGTTCTTCAGCACCAGCTGGCCTTCGGCCAACTGGAGAGAAGCACCCAAGCAAAGTATCAATAGCGTCAAGCTCTCGAAATCGAACCTACCAAAACCAATCCTAAACCCCCAGACCTTCAAGAAGACGTACCTAGACCCCAAAAAGTAGGTAAGATAATGGCCCAAAACCTATAAAAGGCTGGTATTCTACATACTTTTGGGGTGCAGGTAATCACACAACCCCACAACCTAAGGTCCTCTTAGCTTCTCTGGCACGCATCGAAACTATAGGATCGACCCCTCATCCATCACCCAAAGCCGATGTTTGGGGCTTCGATTGCTGCAGCGCGAAGGGCAGTAATATAGGGCCCTGCATAATCACCAACAATATTCCTTAGGTTTCTTTATAGTACACATATTCTGATATATCCAAAGCCCTACCCTATCCAGACAACACAGAAATTGTTCTTCGTGTCGAAGCTTCAAGATTCCACCAGGTCTGGCTGTAGCGCTATATAACTTCCTAAACTCTAAACCCTTTTGCAACTGGCCTGCTGCGACTATGCCAGGACGACCACAAGCAGTAAGTCAGTAAGCACTAAACCCTGGAACCGTAGATTCCGAAACAGGGGACCAGACCTTCGAAAACTCGACTTGTGCAGTTGTTCATAAATTAAGTCTCCTCAATCTCCGCACGAGACGTGCAGTTGAGAAGACCAGGTCTACAGACAGCTGACCTTGGGCAAGCAAGCTCCCCTTGTTGTGGTCTTGGGTGGCGTGTTCGTACTCACTTGTCGATCCGCCAATCCAAACGTTCACGCAACCCCTCGGCTCTCATACGAGTTGCGAGTTTGTTGACTAAACAACCTCGAAGGACCTGGTTCGCTAGACTTAAGGGTTTAGGATGATTAGGGAAACCGGTGGTGGATTTTGTTTTTTGCTTGCCCAGTTTCTCAGGTGAACTAAGGGTAAACTTTCGGCATTAAGACAAGATTATAATACTCTCCCTTCCCCCCCACGGACAAGAATGACAAACGGCGCTTTGGCGGTTTTAGCGTGCGTCAGGGGTTTGCAGTGTTTCCTGTTTAGTTTTTGGCGCTTCTCGGAATGGATTGACTAGTCAAACGCAGACCCTCTGAAACCATGCTACCCTGAGGCCCCATAGTAGTTCCTTTTTGGTATTAGCTTATAGGATTCTAAATGTGAACCACAAAATGGAACCACTTTGGGGCCTTATAAGGTAGACCCAAAACTCCGGAACTGGACCACCGAACCCAACTTTGTAAAACGCTGCTCCGGCAAACTGAGAGTCAAGGGGAAAAATGTAGCGCGGGGAAGCGTGCGCTGATAGCCAGGACTGCCCGAAGCTCCACCAACGTCCAGTATCTCAAGTTGGGATTCTCACCATGTGGAGCCGTTACTGCGATCTTCTGTCTTAGCTGTCTTAGCTTCCGGCTTCAGGAATATATTCCGTATGGTTTAGGAATTTTGGGATGGTATTCGTCAACTAAGAACAGTGGAGAAGCTTGAGACACATCATGCTGGTCGTCATCAAGATTATCTACATTGTCTTGTTCCACCATCGGAAGAATATGAACACCTAGAAGAATCCCGGATAACACGCACATCCCAAAACTCAAGGCAACGACGCGTAGTAAACATCATGCCCAGGGGTTTTGTGAGACTACACGTGCCGGACAACAGGAAGAGGCAAAGTTTTACGGTCCAGAGCACTCAAACCCAACGGCCTCCCCCGCCAATCCCTAGCTTCGAACTCTGGGCTTTATACCATCTTATAAGTGAGCGAGGGCAGGGTCTTAGGATGTGAGACAGCTGCTTTGGAACCAACTTTTGCATGGATGAAGGGAGAGGCGGGCAGTAACATGCACTAGCAGGACAAAAATAACCCTAAACCCTAAAAGCTTTTGAACGAGGAGGTCTTTCTGAAGTGCCTCCGGTAGTTGAATTTCACCAAACCTAAAAACCTAAACCCTAAACAGTTCCTGGCATTCGACGCGTCGAGACTTGTGTCTGCGGGGCTTGGGATGTGTGGAGCTTCGGGAAGCCTCAGAGAGCTTCTTGTCGCTATGCAAATGTATCATAGGCACCGGCGTGCTTCTCCTGGTTGGGTTGGATTTCGGATCTTTTCCGTCTCGCATGGCTGGCAACAATGGGTTTCGGATTAATTCTAGGGCTTGGGGCTTAATTAGGGTTGTGGGGTCCCATTTTCGGCTTTGGGCTTTAGGAAGGGGTTTCGGATTCTAGATGCAAAACCGCATGCTTGGAGGGTCGGGGGACTTAGTAAGTAGGTAGTAAGTAGACTTAAAAGTACCCTAAAAGGGACCCTAATTGGGGTTATGGTACTTATAAGTCCCTAAAATAACCAGTTACTAAGTCCCGTAAACACCCTCCAAGTAAACGCAAAGCCGCATGGGCATGCAGGTTGAGGGCGCGGTGAATTGAAAACCGAACTCCTGAGCTCCTCTTATACCCTACACGGGAGTTTCCGATAATTAGGGGGTACCATATCTGGGGGTCCTTATAATAAGTATGGGGGTCCTTATAATAAGTATCCTACTATTAATTTAGGGCACTATATTCGGATCCCCTATTTTCGGAAACTCCCACACCCTGTTTTTGCATCAGGACTTGTGCAATCGCCTACCCGTAACCCTGGACCTTTAGCTCCTCAAACCTGAGGCCTAGTCTGACAGTTAGTCAGCCAACATCTCCCAGCCCATGCTTAACAATAAATCCTGAGCACTCGAGCACCCTAGGTTTAAGCCTAAAATGACTAGTTGGGTGAGTCTAACAAAGAGTGTTTATTTGGTTTATAGGATGCTGCAAGGCTGTTGGTTGAGCTTGCGGGGATTTGCTTCGATTCCATGCTTGCAAGAGTTACAGTTACATGGTTTTCCAGGGTGCTACTCGGGCTTGAACTTGAACAGGGACCCTTAGCACACCAACCTCGAAACCAAATGCCCGAGCTACAAAAGCCAACGAAGAAAGATGAATCCTAAGCCGTGAACTGGCTATACCCATAGTAGTTACTTTTTAGGACTACCTTATTCTAAATATGAATCACAAAAGGAACTACTATGGGGCCTCAGGGTATAGAGCCAGAAACCTCACGGATGTGCAAGTACGTTAAGCTTCTGGGTTGTAGTTGAACTTTATCTGTCAGTATATGTACCTGCATGCAAGATTGCCGGCGAAACTCAAGGCTGTCCCAAGTTGCCAGCCAGTTTTGCCGAGGTTTTGGGGCTTACGGAGATTCTGCGAAGCATTGTTCCTTGATTCTGAATCGCATCATGTTCAGGGTATCAGTTTCCTCAACACTATCGCACACCGGCACATAACATTGGAGGTATCTGAATCTCAAGAACTAGGGCTACGCTTGCAAGGGCATCATGACCGTGCCTGCTTCACCATCGCAGGCGGGGCCAAATTCTCGGGGGCATTGATATGAAATGCCTGAGCAGCACTTCCACAGACTCCCAGGGACACTCACA